CTCATATCATCAAAGCATGATGATAATCATTTTATGTTATGCTATCAATCTGGTGATGGTTAAAAATAGACCTGTTGTGATAGAGTTTTATATTTAGTTAGCTATTATAAATTCTAAATATATTAATTTTCTAAGAAAATAATTTTTTCTTAATAAATTTTTATATAAATAAAATACATTTTTATTTTTATGTTTCCTTTATAAGCAATTGAGACTCACATTCTAATAATTTACTCTTGTACATACTGTATTTATGTAAGCTGATAATGAACTTTGTAGTGAAGAAATTGAACATTTGTGATGATGCACAGCAATTGAGATCACTGACTGATACCTGTACAATCAGGTTGCAGAAATTTTGGGGATTATGTATGTGGATGAAGATACTCTGTTACATAACAAATTGTTTTATTGATTGAAGAAATGTTTACAATAATTCCATGGCATTTTCTCCCAAACAGATAATATCCACATGATTAGTCTTTATAGGATACTAAGAGGGGTCTGAAGTTTTATTTCATGTGAGCAAATTGTCCCTCAATAGTTCATCAGTCCTGGGCTGTGTTACACATTGGTGGCGCTTGGGTGAGTCACCAGTTTTTGGTCACTCTTGAACAATGGGACAGGCTGTAATCAGTTGATCTGAGATATGATGTAGATGAAAATGAGAACACAAAAGAAAAAAGAAACAACTTGATGCTAAGGACATTTTTGAGAGATCCTCTGGGAAAAGATCAACAGATCATTTTGGGGAAAAAGAATGTCTTGTCTTTGAGCACAGACTTTTATTAATGCAGTCTTTCACTCACCCATCATGATTAGTATTGAATTCTGTCCTCACTTTCCAAGCAGTCGCTTACCTGTTGCTAGATACAATGTAAGCCCAACTTACTTGTTAGTTATGGGAGAGGTCAGCATTGATGTTTAATCTGATCCCAACCAGAGATGATCAATTTTAATACTTACATTGTTTATTTGTTTTATTTGTTCCTTTATTATTTATTTTACAAACTATTTCTGTGTCTCTCTTACTCTCTATGAAAAAAACATTTTAAAACACTAGGGGTTTGGATTCTGTTTAGAGCCTTACTCTTTATTTCTATTATCTGTGAAATGTTAACATGTAAAGACACTATGTCATATTGGTAGCATAAAATTTTAATATTAAGTATTTTGGATTAATTTGGACCAGTTTTTAAGTTCTCTGTCATTCAAATAAAATACAATGTGTGAATATTGTATTTTATTTGAATGACAAAGAATGTAATAAAATGAGATGAATCAAAACTGAATAAGTCAATTTTGAATTTTTATACTTTGTTTGGCTGACTCTAACTGAAAACAAATTTGAAAATATCTTAACTTTTCTGTTTCTTTTCAGTTTTTCAGTTGCAATTAGCCAAAAATAAGATATTTTGTGAACAGCATCAGCAAATTGTCAGTTGCCTTGTCTATTCTCAGCATTTTCGTAAATGTTTAAAAAAGAACACACAATGCCGAATTAAGAGATTACTTGTAATTGACAGAGACATTTAAGCAAAGCTTTTTCTACTTTGAAATAATTAGTTTTGTAAGCAAAAATTTTATTTACATGAAAAGCTTTAAGATTAGATTTCAGTATGACTTGTTGTGTTAAAGTTGGCTAAGCAAGTTTAAAACAGCCATGAAATCCATAAAAATATACAAACAATTTCAATGGACATTTTTTTTGCGAGTCAGTTTTGACTGGAAATATTAAAAATAGGAAATTGGATGGAATGAAAAATTATAATGTACACATTAAACATGAGTAAGCCCAAAGCTTGCATCTACTAATGTCAATGATAAAATATAGATATGGCATATTTTAGATTAAATCAAATAGAAGATAGTGTTTTTTTTAATTAAAACATATTTCAATCATATAAAAATTGTTTTAAGTTTCTTCTTATAAGTATTCTTACATATTTATGTTGAAAAATAGTCAATTATTTTTGCCTGAACTTTTTACCAAAAGTTGTTTTTTTTTTTAAACAATTAGTTTTGATTGTTAAAATAAAAATTATATCATCAGAATATTTTCTTGTTGATCAAAACTATTTCTTAGTTTTAAACTTATCGTTATTTGAAACTGTCCTCAAATAAAATGTTTTGACCTTGTTAGTAACACAATTCAATATATTTATTGCATTGTCCAGTATTTTTTGAGATATAATACTTATTCAAATTTGATTTTCATATTTATGTACTAGCAATAGCCAGGTGAGATTTATATTTCTTCAAGATCATACCAATTAATCTATAATGTAAATTCAATTTTATCTATACTTTCTTCTATTTGGATTTTAATTTATATATTTGGGAAGATTTGTAGTTTCTATCATAATTTGTAAGCTAGCTCATTACATTTCAACAAATATTTATTTTAAAAATGATTTGTGATTATTTTAATTTTAGATTTTGTTTTAATTACTATTGTTTTTAATATTCAAATTGAAGTTTATTAATTTAGGATTTAATAAGACTGTTTTCATTATTTTACAGAAAAGAATTAATAATACTCCTGTGATATGGAAAACTCATAATCCATTTGTAAATTTAGGATCTTGTATCCGTCCAAATTCTGCCTTTTCTCCTAATATTTCAGGTATTGAAGATTATAATTTAAATAAAAATTAATTTTAATTTTTATTTTAATATATTTTATTTTTTGTTACAGCTTATAGTCCAATTAATAGTTACACGGTTCCACAATTTCCATTTTCCCATCAACGTGCGCCTACAGGTGATACATTTTTGATGCGACATCCTCCTCCTCCACCTACGGCATTCATACCTGAATCGTTTGTAAATTCTAATCGTCAGATTTTGGATGGTCCACTTTCAGTTGCCTCACAAATAAACCATACAATGAACAAGCCTCCTTTCTTTATTTCAAACAGTACAAAAAAATCTGTTGTAAATAAAACATGTGAAATTACAAGAAAAACAGAATTTAGTCAAAAACAATTAAAAAATGAAAGAAATGACAGTTCTGACATGTTTGTGCCTTTGCAGGTAACAAAATTCTTTCATTGGTCTTATATTTATGGGTTTACAAGAAAAAAATTTTAATCAAATTTTTTATGTACTTTTAGGTGACAAAACAGCAGTCTGCTTTAAAAAAGAGTCAGGAAGAAAATAAAACTTCAACCAAATCCTCACAAGAAAGTAATTCTGCAGGAGGTAAAAACAAATCTTCGCAATCTTTGCCGAAAAAAGAAACACAAACAAAAAAGAAACAACATAGAAAGTCAAGGTTAGCTGTAAAATTTGGAAATGATGGTAGTTAATTATTAAAAATCTCAAAGCAAATTTGGCTACCATGTAGCATTAAGATGTTTTATTTGGAATGAACAGATGTTTTTAATCTAAAAGATAGAAAAACTGTATATATTTATATATATATACAAACATTATAATTGTCTTAAAGATTTTAATATTTTGTAAAGTACATTTATTTTCATTAATGGATTGTTTCCCATATTATTTTTAGCGACTATCTACTGCGTATAGAAATTGTATAATGTTGACACCAAACAAAACATTTGTAATTAGTTCTCTTTTTCCTGTTTTCTACCTCCAAACTTAATATGAAAGCGATGTATGTTAGTAGCATTTCAATTGAGTTTTTTAAACAAACAATGCTGAAATTACAATAAAAATATTTTATTTTTTAAATTTGTGATTTATTTTTATACCTTCAAATTTCTTTTTTTTTTTGGGTGTCCTTAACATTTTAAGAGGTAGTCTGAGTAACAAATGTTCCTGGTTACACAAACACATTTTGTCTCCTTGCTTGAGTCATATCATGTATTCCTTACTCCATTAAAATTAGCCAAAAAAATATGCAGTATATAATTAGATTAATTTGTCTTTCTTTAACCAACAAAACTATTTGTCAAATAGGTGACATCACTTTTCTTTACAAAACAATAGCATAGAGGCTTTTTATATTTACAATACTTTAAATATGGTATGGTATGTGGTTGAAAACATTACCATATGCAAAGGTCTGGTAACTTAATGTAATAAAAATATTTTGATCTTCAAATTTACAATTAATTTTGATTCATAATTTATAGAATATGATTATGGGATACAGAAGGCATTTCAAAAAGAATCTAGTGAGTTTGTTAAATCTATTAGCGAAACAATTACTATTAGCATCCAGTATATTTTAAAATATACTTGATGTGATATTTTTGGCAATATTGTGCTTATAAGTTACTCCCTCCTAGCATCAACAATATCTGGACCCTTACATAATGACTCTTCAAAGAAATGATATTCTAGAACAGTGTTCTTCAACCTTTTCACACCTGCAGACTGGCAAAAATAGGAATATTTCGCAGACCGGCAGAAGGCTAAACATAAATTTTCTTAGACACGGGTGATGTGTGCAACTGTCATAACTTTATTCAAACAATTGCAATAATCAAAAATAATTAAAAACTGTTTACATTAATTACAAATTTAAAATCTTGTAATTACAAAATTTCCTGCCAGTCTACAAATTTCTTATGGACCAGCACTGGTCTACAGAATCAAGGTTGAAGAACATTAGTCATACTGATTAACTTCAAGATAAGTGTATTAATGTCACCTAGACAATGATGATTCACTTACAATGAAAGAATTATTTCTCCTCTTATTATGATTTTTAATAAATTAACTTATAAAATTCTCATAATAAATTTTATATAATTAATATGGAAATTGTCAGTTTCATACATTAATTTTACTTGTTTAAAATTAACATATTTGTGAAGTAAAAAATCATACAAAATTGTTTTATAAATGCTGTTTTGTTTGTTTTCCTCTTAAAATTACCATATATCTTATGTATATAAAAAAAGTTTTATTTTGAATGTGGTAATTTTTCTGTTAAAATTATTTAATTTGATTGTAATAAGAAAATAAATTTACAACAAAACAACTTGTGCCAAGTTCATTTGCCATTAAGAAAATGATCTGAGATGATAATCACTGCTACTTTTAAGTAACAAATACCATGTGGATTACCGAGATAGAAAATACAACAGGTATATACTACGATGACTGATAGGTTGATATCTTAACTACATTGGCCATCTTGCTATTTCTCTGGGGATCTGGAATTGAATCCAGGCAATAAAATCAAACTCTTGGAATTTTTTGTAGTTAGTCTATCCCAGACATTTTGGGTCTCATCACTTACCATCAATAATGGGCATGGGAAAAAACTCTTCTTAATGTCCATAGGAAGTGCCCATGGTGACCATAAAGAGCCAATAAAGATTTAACTGTGATTACCCTTAGTGGAATCCCAAAACACCTCAGAAAATAAAAGAAAATGCTCTTAAACTATTAAGCCATTTCCTATTTTATAGCAAGATGGTTCAAGAAAGTTTTTATCTCTACATATGAAACCATTAAATAATTAAATGGCTCTATTTTCAGTACCAGTATCCTAACCAGTATTCCAAAATACTTCTGATAAAGTAGGAAATAATTCTTATATATCCTTGATTTAATCTGTTTTCTGAGAAAGGAAAAAAGGTTCATTTCTCAAACAAATGGAAATCAGAAATGGATTTATAAAGCTGTTGTCTGAATACTATCAATAGCTATGTGAATCCAGAACACTTGGATTAATTGGAAATTAGCTCATATAAACATAATGTGGAGCAGAGTAGTTTTCTTGCCAGAAAATTATTTCATCAAACATACAGGATTACATACAAATGTATTTTTTTAATGGAACCATTAATACATTATGTCACTGTTAATGTCCTGAGCTACCTCAAAAAATACCCGTGGAAACATAACCATGTCAAGGTTTTTGATTAATTGAAGCTAAATTAAACTAAGAGAGAAACTTATCTAAATAGTAAAAACTCAAGCAATGAGTTGCTTAACTTTCCTGGCAAAAACATTTAAAATTGCAAATGGTATCCATATGTTGCAATATGTCACTAAAGAAAACTTTTTCTTATTAATTATAAAATGGTAAAAACTTAATTTTGAAGATTTTTATAATAAATTGTAAATGCTAATAACAAATGAAATCTTCATTAAGTCCAACCCTACTTGAGATATGACATGACCTGCACTCTATCTACCCATCTTTTAACCACCAAAATTTAATAGTATCAAACTTTCAACAAGGTACACAGGAATTAAGCTTCAAAATGGGTGAACAAAACTGTGCTCCCCTCGAGAGAGAGGAGGAAACCCTCAATTTTTTTTATTCTTGTTTCAAGGTCCCAAGTCCAAAAATTAAAAACTCAGATCATTTTTTGACTAATTTCCATACTTTTGCTCTGTTATATGTAACAGCTGAGAAAGTAATACAATTTAATAATACAAACAGTATTATGAAATGTTTGTTCACTTAGATTTCAATTTTTATGAATATAAAAGTAGAGTGTAAGCAAAATCATTCTTTATACAACTTTTAAGCACAATGCTTAAGGTTATTTTAATTTCACACTGGTCTTAAATTTGGAAAGCCACAATTTATTCTAAAATATCAATATATATATATAAATTAATAGATAAATAATCAAACAGTGCTAACTTTTTCCAGGCTATTTTAATGCTAGAAATTTTAATTTAATAACAATTAGAATAGTTGATAAATTGGTAACATCCAGTAGGCAAGAATTTTAGGCTCAAAATCCATTTCTTTAGATTTTTCCAAAATTAATGAATCAAATAATTCTAATTATTAAAATTTCTTAAATGGCAAATCTGAAATTATATAATTTAAACCAGATTTTTAAGTAATTTCTTACATTAATATGGCATGAAAAAAATAAGATATCTTTAATCAAAAGTTTCAACTGTTTTTGAAATTTTTTAAACATGTAACTGTTAATTGGAAAAAATAATCTATAATTTTAATGAGTATACTTATTTTCTGTAATTATTAATTGAGTACATGAATCCATTTAGAATGAATCTCCAAAGTCAACTATAATTTGAACCTTTTTGAATTTAAATCAAACACTCAATTTATAATCCTTTAAACTTATCTTGCAGAACTTATTTGATACAGATATGTCAAAAGATTTTGCAGTGAATGAGGATATTTATTTCTGCTATAAAGTTTTTAAGATTTTTAAATAGTATAATCTGATGATGAGTACAAGGGAATTTAAGAACACAGATCTTTTACTGCAGAGCATACTGATATGTCTCAGACCAAAAAAAATTCCTTATTAATTCATTCATATAAGTCCATTTTCTGTTTAATACAAGATTTGAACACAAATTCTGGATAAGATCTAAAATTAAATTGAGTATGCACTGAAGATCTGAAAAGAGTTGAAAAAAAAAACTACAATTACTCTTCCAAATATTTATCTAGTAGTAGTATTTTTTCTTTTTGTGAAATTGTAAATTGCCAATAATTTCAAAAACGGCAAAGTATATAATAATGACTTATTTTAACACTAACAACAACAACAACAATTAAAAAATCAGTTTTTTAAAATAAAAAATAATTTATTTTCAGATAAACATGATACAACTTGACAAACTAACTAATGAGCAGAAGGGATAGATTTTAATTTTGAAGTACTTGGTTCTTCTTCATATTCAATTTCTATATGAGGCCTCCTCTTAACCTTTTTACTTTTCGGTTCTTCATCAGAACTGCTCTCAGACTTTTCATGCCAATCCTTAAAAAATGTATTAGTTAATATATTCAAAGGTATTAAAACAACAAAAATACAATATTTACTGAAATTGTTACCTCAATATCAGAGATGTCACTTTCTTCAAATTCATCTGCAGCTACATAAGTCACTTCATTCTATTAAAAAATATATTTTTTTATTTCGTCAAAAACAATGAACAGAGAAAATTTCAATAATAATTTAAAAAGTATCTTAAATATTGTGGATGTAAATAACTATTAGAAAATGAATAAAAGAACTTTTACATGTGAATTATTGGTATAAATTTTGTAAATTAAGTTTTTCTGCATAATCATTATGATAATTTCTGAATTAATTTTATATTTATTCATACAGATTTTTTATATTCTAATTTAATAAATTTAATTAGAATTTAATACTGTAAGTATTAGGATTGTTGTATTCATACCAATATTGAAAAATTTAGTACAAAGTAAATAATAAAAACTGATTTACTTACAGATTGTGAAATGTATTTATTGAAAAAAAAATTAATTGATTAAACATTACAATCACTTTATTTCTGTTTAATTCTGCTTATATTTTATCTCTTAAATAAATTTTTCTAATAGTATAATATAGTTGACTTGCCTTAATGTGAATTTTTGTGTTAAAGCAAATTTTGCTGTTGCCCTGGCAAAACACCATTGTCATGTGATTAATGAATTCTGGTAAAATTTTTGTTCACTTTAACTAAATTATAAATTATATTCACAACCCCAAGAAATAAAATCATTATTAAGAAATTGGGTTATTATTCATGTTGAAAAGTGTAAAAAGCAAAGTGATACTATAATAAATGTTTGCTTACTAGGAGAAAATTTATTTATTAAAATGGATGAATGTCATTAAACTTTCTCTTGCAAACTACCAGCATGTGTTTGGATATCAGGGGTGCATACAGTGATGCCAGGTTTGGCTCCTTTTTTATTTTGTTGCCAAAAAATATTTTCTACTTTTTCAAACAATCATCAACAGAAAAAAAATCACAGATTTCTCTTACTTTGTTTTGTTTAACCACTGATATACTGTTCCACACTTAAATAGCAAATACTCTCTTCTCATTTTTTTTATTATTTGAAAATCATTTAAAATATTAATTTATTTTTATAAATAAATTTTATTTTATTTAACTTTATTTACTAAATTAATTCAAAATATTAAAATTTAGAGATTTCAATTGCTATTAATCTCCTTAACTTCATAAATTATACAACCTTGATCCTGAAAATTGTTGATACAAATTTTCAATAAAGGAAACTAACTACTGTTCTCCTAGCGATTCATACTAACACAAGCTGACTGGTAATTAAATAAAATTTAAAATCAAATGTTTTATGATAACTGTGTTAGGCATAAGATTCAGAATGAAATTGAAATTGATTTTCTGCTTGCATTCTCTGTAGGTTGAGAATGGCTAAAAATACTGAAAATAATAATAATTTTGGTTTCTGAACATAGCAGTTTGGTCTTTTAACTTACAAGCTACCATGTTCCACATATTCTCATGATAAGACTTAAAAATCTTGTATAATGCAACTTATAAAACTGCTTAAAAACTAATTACTATTATAGTATCTAGTTCCTATTAATTTCTGTTAATACTGTATAATATAATTATGTAATTTTATTCTATTGTAAAAACTACTTAATTAACTTCCTTACTTCTTCTTCGATTTCTTGTTCCTGTTCTTCTTCCTCCTCCTCAATTTCAGATTCTATTTCCTTTTCATCTAAAGCTTTTTCAAATGCTTTTTGAGGAAAATTATAGATATCTCCATACTGTAAAAAAAATCTTTCTAATAAAAATTGCTTTCAATAATAATAATAATTTTTTTAATGTCAACTAACTGTTCCTTTCTGAAGACGTTCAAGTAATTCTTTTTCGATTGCATTTTCAAGTCGGGCAGCAATCAAAGCCTTTTCTTCTCTTCTCCTTTCTCTCCTTTCTATCTTTCTCTGCAGTGGTACAAGTTTCTTTCTATTAGGTAAATTTAAAGTAATGTTAATTATGAGTGTTTTTTTATACATATCTGTTATATATATATAACAGAACAGAATTTATCTGAAAACACTAAATTTAAAAGAAAACAGTTTGTATTTGTTTTTTTATCTATGATAAAAAGAAAAATGTTATAAGACAAGTAATGTTCTGAAAATTCAAATAAAAATAGAGAATAAAGAACAAAAGAAATATATTATTTACTATTCTAACACATCTGTTTGTATCAAGTACTGACTCAAGTAGATAAATGGTTCTAAAAAATCTAAAACAATTTATTAAAAAAATTTAACCTAGCAAGTTTCTTAAATTTAACAATTTCTTTATTAATTATAAATTAAATCTTCAGTTTAATTCTTAAAATGTCAAAATTAACTTAATCTACCTTAGAATTTGTCTGATTTTAATACATCTAATACAGAAATTAGAAATATATAGAATTCATTCCAAAAGAAAACATTTTCTTTCAAATAATGTAAATTATATAATAAAATAATAAATTCTTAATTATATAATTTTAGTAATTATAGTAAAATATGTCATAAGTAATCTTTACTTAACAGATTCAAAAATTGACCAGTTCCTCTCCTCTAAATTTCAGAGACATTAATATATTTTAGTCAGTGTGAATGAACAGTAGTAACACAATATCATTTTTTTTTTCTTCTTAGAAATAGCAAGTTACCAACATTGTATTTTATCATCAAAACAACTGAAAACTAAATCTTATGAAATTAATTTACTCTATATACTTGTAAGTGGACAGGTATTATATACATTATATTTTTTTTCTTCATTACTTTGTATTATAACTTTTTAATTGACAAATATTTTAATATATTTTTAAGTATTAGTTTGTTACACAGTACTTATTGAATAAATTATGAAATAATAATAATAAGAATTTCTTATTAAATTTATTAAAAATTTCTTACTGTCTTCCGAGTGCAATTTTTCTCATTCGAACCAAATACTGTTTGATTTTTGTATATCTTTGTTTACATTTATGAACAACAAATCTTGGCCAATAGATTAAATGCTGATCAATTTGTTCAAGAGCTTTCTCATAATTTTTTGATAATTTCACTTTCTCCCAGAGTTTAGAAGGAAAAGCAGCACGTTCAATTGTCTTCATATATAAATAACAAACACCTAGTTATAAATGTATAAATATTATTATTAAAATGTATTATTAAAAATATATTTAATAAAATATTTGTTTAAAATTTGCTTAAATACATTTATTTTAAAAATACAACAATAAAGAGTAACCTGCAAATAAACATTGGTTCCATTTAATTTTACTGTCCTGGCTTTTATGTATACATAACAAGGAAAAATATTGGAATCATGTCAAATTTGATCCTCTCAGTTTTTTGCAAATCTCCATGTTTGGAAATCTGCTGAATCCAAAGAAGTCAAAAAACTTTCATGGATGTGTATATTAGCATCTATTTTGCTTAATTTCTCAGGATGGGGTAAAAATTAAGTAACAAAATTTGGCATGGTGGCTTATATATGAGGGGCATTAATGCTATTAAATTTTGGTGGTTAAAGGTCAAGGGGGTCTTGTTTATCTCCAGTAAGGTCAGACTTAATGATGATTTTACTCATTATTAACATTTATTCTTTTTTTATAAAACTCATCCCTACCTNTTTATTAGTCTGAACTAATAATTAAACTAGAAATCTTATAAAAACAAATTTAATATGACTTTTTTGCAAGAAATACATATTTTACTCTCACTTTTTTGTTATAATTAAATTCACTTCAAAATCATATAAAACTTACTATTTATTTGGTAAAAATAGCAAAAAATATAAATATAAACAAAATTGGTTTGAATTAAGCGAGTTCAGGTTAGTGAGAATTATCTGTGTTTCATTGTAATAACAGTTCACAATTACTAAAAATTTTTTAAATTTGATCTAAAGAATCAGCATAATCAAGACCATTTCTGAGAAGCGGAAAAAAAGAAAGGTTTATCTGCCATGAATTATTCTAAGGATTTCAGCATATTTTAAAAGTGTAATTATTATTAAATCAAGAAAAATATAAATAAATTTTAGAATTAATTTAAAATCAATAAAATGAAAGTAATTTTTGACACAATAATATTTTAATTTTATTATACAGCTTACTTTATTAAGATACTTACCTTCTTCTTCTCTTATTGTTGCATACTGACTGTTAGCTAATGGACAGGATGCCCTATTACATAAACCTGTGAGATTATATTCATTTCGGCAGAACTGTTGTGTTTTGGTGCTGTAAAAGTCATAAAAGTTTTCAAGTGTTTATAGTCATTAGCATTATAATAATGAACAGTTTATTATATTCTGAATCTATTTAAAAGTGAAGTGACATTCAATTCACAGACTTAATGAACTATCCTAATTTTATATTCTAATAAAATACCATATTATCCCCATTGTATGCCTACTTAAACATTTCCAAAAAATGTCTGCATTAATATCATTGTTTAATAAATATTATTTATGATAAAACTGCACCTGAAATAAAATACTAAATCACGATTCTGTCTTTTTATGAAAAATTACTAGAAAATTTGGATTCTGCAGTTCTATGAGTCACTGTCAACTGGGCAACAGTGAGAGGGCAATGGACTGCCAATTGGGCACAAGACATCTGGGTGACAAGATAAGAGATTAAAAATAGACAAAATATGAAAGTTTTTATTGTTTTCTTTATTAAATTTACCATTCTTTTTTTATTGATCTACTACCCAGTAAATTTAAATAATATTTTTTAGGAAATGAGTTAAAAGAAAGATTTTGCAATTAAAAAACTTATTTATACATGTTACATATTTTATTTATTTATTTATTTTTACAAGTAAATAAAAGTCTTGAAGAGCAGTTTATATCTACCTTAAAATTAATATACATAAAAACAAATTCAACAATTATATAAATCTAAAAATACATTACATTATACATTAAAACAAAAAGGTATAAACATTTTTTGAAATAATTTGTTTTCAAAGAACTGTTTGTCTTTGATATGCTTTGTTAACCACTTCTGACATACAATAATTAATGATGCTACAGTATATTGTTCCAAAACATTTCATTTTTCAAGTTGGAAATAACTCAAAACTCATAGTTCATACCTCATAACTCTTAACCATGTTTATATTTATATATATTTTACCAATATTTACAAAAAATGTATACATATATATATTTTGTATATACCAAATTGTCAAATCATATTCTTGCTAAGTATGCAAAATTTTTAAGTTTCCATTGCCCAATTAACTGTCGCCCAGTTGACCACCACCCAGCTGTTGTGTAGCCCAGTTCTATGGCTATAAATACACCCCACAATACATTTACACAAGTGCAAAAAAAAAATTGTAGATTCAGTTAGAAAAAGGTGTTTACTGATACAGTAGAGCCTCGAAAACTCAGCCTAATGTGGACCGAAGGGTGGCCGAGTTTGTGAAAATGCCAGGTTATCGGGAATGGGATTAAAAAAGGATAAGTATGCATGTTTCCTCAGAAAATATTGTACTGTACTTGTATGTATTGTTTACTTGAGAATACAACAGAGAATAAACTGCCCAAATACCCTTNCTATTAATCTCCTTAACTTCATAAATTATACAACCTTGATCCTGAAAATTGTTGATACAAATTTTCAATAAAGGAAACTAACTACTGTTCTCCTAGCGATTCATACTAACACAAGCTGACTGGTAATTAAATAAAATTTAAAATCAAATGTTTTATGATAACTGTGTTAGGCATAAGATTCAGAATGAAATTGAAATTGATTTTCTGCTTGCATTCTCTGTAGGTTGAGAATGGCTAAAAATACTGAAAATAATAATAATTTTGGTTTCTGAACATAGCAGTTTGGTCTTTTAACTTACAAGCTACCATGTTCCACATATTCTCATGATAAGACTTAAAAATCTTGTATAATGCAACTTATAAAACTGCTTAAAAACTAATTACTATTATAGTATCTAGTTCCTATTAATTTCTGTTAATACTGTATAATATAATTATGTAATTTTATTCTATTGTAAAAACTACTTAATTAACTTCCTTACTTCTTCTTCGATTTCTTGTTCCTGTTCTTCTTCCTCCTCCTCAATTTCAGATTCTATTTCCTTTTCATCTAAAGCTTTTTCAAATGCTTTTTGAGGAAAATTATAGATATCTCCATACTGTAAAAAAAATCTTTCTAATAAAAATTGCTTTCAATAATAATAATAATTTTTTTAATGTCAACTAACTGTTCCTTTCTGAAGACGTTCAAGTAATTCTTTTTCGATTGCATTTTCAAGTCGGGCAGCAATCAAAGCCTTTTCTTCTCTTCTCCTTTCTCTCCTTTCTATCTTTCTCTGCAGTGGTACAAGTTTCTTTCTATTAGGTAAATTTAAAGTAATGTTAATTATGAGTGTTTTTTTATACATATCTGTTATATATATATAACAGAACAGAATTTATCTGAAAACACTAAATTTAAAAGAAAACAGTTTGTATTTGTTTTTTTATCTATGATAAAAAGAAAAATGTTATAAGACAAGTAATGTTCTGAAAATTCAAATAAAAATAGAGAATAAAGAACAAAAGAAATATATTATTTACTATTCTAACACATCTGTTTGTATCAAGTACTGACTCAAGTAGATAAATGGTTCTAAAAAATCTAAAACAATTTATTAAAAAAATTTAACCTGTATACTTATTTTCTGTAATTATTAATTGAGTACATGAATCCATTTAGAATGAATCTCCAAAGTCAACTATAATTTGAACCTTTTTGAATTTAAATCAAACACTCAATTTATAATCCTTTAAACTTATCTTGCAGAACTTATTTGATACAGATATGTCAAAAGATTTTGCAGTGAATGAGGATATTTATTTCTGCTATAAAGTTTTTAAGATTTTTAAATAGTATAATCTGATGATGAGTACAAGGGAATTTAAGAACACAGATCTTTTACTGCAGAGCATACTGATATGTCTCAGACCAAAAAAAATTCCTTATTAATTCATTCATATAAGTCCATTTTCTGTTTAATACAAGATTTGAACACAAATTCTGGATAAGATCTAAAATTAAATTGAGTATGCACTGAAGATCTGAAAAGAGTTGAAAAAAAAAACTACAATTACTCTTCCAAATATTTATCTAGTAGTAGTATTTTTTCTTTTTGTGAAATTGTAAATTGCCAATAATTTCAAAAACGGCAAAGTATATAATAATGACTTATTTTAACACTAACAACAACAACAACAATTAAAAAATCAGTTTTTTAAAATAAAAAATAATTTATTTTCAGATAAACATGATACAACTTGACAAACTAACTAATGAGCAGAAGGGATAGATTTTAATTTTGAAGTACTTGGTTCTTCTTCATATTCAATTTCTATATGANGCTGTCTTAAAGGTAAAATATTTATGAAAAAAAATTAGCAAGAGAGAACAGAATAATAATAAATCTTTACTATTCAAAGCAATCTCTATTTATTTTAAAAATACAACAATAAAGAGTAACCTGCAAATAAACATTGGTTCCATTTAATTTTACTGTCCTGGCTTTTATGTATACATAACAAGGAAAAATATTGGAATCATGTCAAATTTGATCCTCTCAGTTTTTTGCAAATCTCCATGTTTGGAAATCTGCTGAATCCAAAGAAGTCAAAAAACTTTCATGGATGTGTATATTAGCATCTATTTTGCTTAATTTCTCAGGATGGGGTAAAAATTAAGTAACAAAATTTGGCATGGTGGCTTATATATGAGGGGCATTAATGCTATTAAATTTTGGTGGTTAAAGGTCAAGGGGGTCTTGTTTATCTCCAGTAAGGTCAGACTTAATGATGATTTTACTCATTATTAACATTTATTCTTTTTTTATAAAACTCATCCCTACCTTCAAAATTAAGTTTTTTGCCATTTTATAGTAATTAAAAGTATAAAACGTTTTTATAACAAAATCTCATAACAGATGACACCATACACAATTTTATTAAGTTATTTTGTAATTAAACTTATAAAAGTTATTTTTAGTAAGATCTCATAATAGGAAAGTTATGCAACTCATTTCTGGATTTTTTTAGTTACTCCTTTTGTTTTCTACAATATCTCATAACAGATAAAAAAGGTTGTTCTTCATTAAATATTTTTTAATTTTATTTTAAAATTATTTTTCAAAACGATATTATTCTTGATTATGATTAAATAAATAATATATATATTTAAAAATAATAATTTCATTCATTAATTGAGGTTGAGTGTTAGTGAAGCCTCTTCTATGTGACTTACAGAATTGTGTTCATTCTCAAAATTTGTTCAATTAATTTTGATTAAACTTTGCCATTTTTCATTAATTGTGATGAAGAATCCATAAGTGTAATATAAAAAAAATGGGAATCCATGACTTCATTTTTGAGATATTCGGTTGTTTCATGAACGCATGCAACAAAGTGATGTCAGGCAATGTTCCATGATTGTTATCACATCTTCTATGGCTTATAGAATCTAGTTCATCCTCAAAAGTTAATGGGCTGATTTTGATAAAACTTTGCCATTTTCCATTAATTGCAGTGAGGAATCCAAAAATGTAACAAGAGTCCATTTAAATGTAAAAAATAGGAGTCCATGACTTTGTTTTTGATATACAGAGATTAAAGTGACAATGTCTGTATTCTTTCATATGACTGAGCATGCCTAAGGGTAAAAATAAAAACAGCAATGTGTGCACCTAATGAAAAATAGGTGTGAAAAATGAACAAACCACAAGAACAAAACAATTGATGGCAATTGCTTCATTCTTGGATCATCTCTCTGTACTGGCCAGTGTAAGGATTGTGTCTCCCATGGCCAGCAGGTACTGTACAAGGATTGCCTCTTCTGTGTCTAATAAGTGCAAGGAACACTTCTTTCTTTCCAGCTCAGCCTTAATTCTATTGCAATACAACAAAGTTGTGCAATATCCTATATCATTACTATAGTTTAATTTTTTATTTAGCAATGAATTAACATCTGTAATATTAGTTTATTGTTTATTGCTAAGGGGTGCAAGTTATTTAACCATTGTGATCTACATTTATAATTTGCAATCTAAAGATGGGCAAAGTTGTGAATCATAAATAAAAATGAATAATGCTTTACTTATAAAATGTAACCATTGAAAGAAAATTAAAATGTCCAAATATAGTCTTTAGACAGAATAATTTATATATAATTTTCTTTCAATCCTTTACATGTTATAAAAAAGAATACAAACTTTTCTAACACACTCCTATATAATAAATCAAGACAATCAGTCTTTTTCAAGAAATTAAATAAAAGAATTAACCCTTGTAGTCTTGACCTAAAAAAAATAAATAAAACAAATACAAAAATACAAATTTAAACAGATTTTTACAATCTTGTTTAATTTAAAATTATTTTTCAGTAGCAAAATGAAATAATATACAGTAAAAGAAAAAGGAATGTAAACAACACAACAAGCTCTTAATATGCAAATTTTGGAAATTTTTTTGCATGTACATTGTTAACACCCTGTTAGTAGTTGTATTTAAAATAGTTTATCATCATTGATAACAAAAATGCAAAACTCAATTAAAATATATAAAAATGGACAAGTAATAAAATAATCTTACTAATTCAAAACATCAAATATACAGTAAAATGTTTCATTTATCATACAACTTGCAATATATAACATGGGTTTGATGATCTGAACATACAGATTTTTTTACACTTTTTGTATTTGGTTCTACCTTTCCTGTCTTTTTTCTTTGATACAATTAACATCTTCCAGTTATAACTGCACAAGCATTTTCCACTTATGAAGAGGTTGTAGATTCTTCTGAATTCAAGATTGATTGCATTGCAATTACTATTTGTCTTTGAAGTATTTTACATTCCCTTCATCAGTTTTTACATATGACACAATCAGCTCTTTTCCAAGATCAAAAAGAAATAGCCTTCTATGATCCAGATGACTAAAAATTTTGAAAAATCAAAACTAAAAACATTTGTACAATGCATTTATCACTGACAATGCATTCCTCAAAACTCAACTTTTAAAACTGAAATATAAATCTAAACAATGTAAAAAAATTTTGATAAAATTTCAAATAAAATTTTTACAGTTATTGTCAAATTTTGCACTTTGAGGTATACATTTGTACCCCACTCAAGACTACAAAGATTGAATATGTTTAATATTAAACAGTTCATCTTTAGAAAAACTTTTAACAGAAATTAGAAAAATGGCATATATTAGTAATATGTATTTGTTCATTTAATATTCTGTTTATTATATTTTAAATCTTTATAAATATTAAAATTTAAATATTTTTAATATAAATTTAAAAAATTAAGAGTGCCAAATTGACCACTTTCATTTTTAATAATGAAGAAACAGCAGTTTAAATTCTTTGATTTCTGTTAATGTTTCTTCTGAAAAGTATTTGCAGAGTTTTAAAAATTATGAATTGAAAAAAAAAAAAAAATTAAAGTTATTGATATATAATTAAGCTAACTTTTAAATACAGCAATACAGAAAATTACCTTTATTATTGCAGTTGAATATTTAGTTTAACTTTAAATTAAGGAAATGCTAAGTAATAGAAAAACACTTTAATTCAAAGTATTAAAAAAAAAAAGTTCTGAAATGGAATGTTTTCTTTTTGATTCATTTGAAAAACTGATCTATTGGAAATGAGAAATTTATTTTATTTGTATTAATTATAATAGTTTTCAAAATTCAAAAATAAAAATATATGTAAACATTTTTTATAATACTTACATATAAATTTTTACATAAAATTGGAAAGTATCATATTGGAAACATATATTTTTATATTGAGAAGTGTTGTAATTTTACACCATACTAATTAAGTTCTATGGTCTTTGGTATGATGGAAAGCACAAATAAAAAAAAAGAAGATTTACATCAATAATAGATTGATGTTATTGAACAACAAAGTGAAGCCAGTTTGTAGGAATTTGACCATTTGACTTTGGACAGAGGGAAATGGAAGGAGATGATTGAGAAGACAATGAACATCTATAGACATTGAGCCAATAGTTATATGAATGAATGGAATTAAGTTCTACATTTAATTATGATACTATACTTTTTAAATATATTATAAAACTGTTTGACTGAACAATTTATAACTAATTCTATTATACAAGATAATTCTACCACAAATTTTTCCTAAATTCCAGTCTACAAACTAAGAGAGGATGCTTGAAGTGAAATACAATTAATTGGCTTTAGCATTTTCAGTTCATACTTTATTATGAGATGTTACTTCAATTATTTCTCCAATTAATTACAAAATAAAACACATCATTATATTATATAATGATGTGTTTTATTTTGTATATAATTTGTATATTTTATAAAATATTTACTGTGACTAACAAGTCTCTTTATCAAAATGTACTCTGAGGACAAAATTTATTTTCATTTTTATTTGTAAATGCAACTATTAAGAATAATTTTCATTTTTTTTATCTATTATTTTATTAGTCTGAACTAATAATTAAACTAGAAATCTTATAAAAACAAATTTAATATGACTTTTTTGCAAGAAATACATATTTTACTCTCACTTTTTTGTTATAATTAAATTCACTTCAAAATCATATAAAACTTACTATTTATTTGGTAAAAATAGCAAAAAATATAAATATAAACAAAATTGGTTTGAATTAAGCGAGTTCAGGTTAGTGAGAATTATCTGTGTTTCATTGTAATAACAGTTCACAATTACTAAAAATTTTTTAAATTTGATCTAAAGAATCAGCATAATCAAGACCATTTCTGAGAAGCGGAAAAAAAGAAAGGTTTATCTGCCATGAATTATTCTAAGGATTTCAGCATATTTTAAAAGTGTAATTATTATTAAATCAAGAAAAATATAAATAAATTTTAGAATTAATTTAAAATCAATAAAATGAAAGTAATTTTTGACACAATAATATTTTAATTTTATTATACAGCTTACTTTATTAAGATACTTACCTTCTTCTTCTCTTATTGTTGCATACTGACTGTTAGCTAATGGACAGGATGCCCTATTACATAAACCTGTGAGATTATATTCATTTCGGCAGAACTGTTGTGTTTTGGTGCTGTAAAAGTCATAAAAGTTTTCAAGTGTTTATAGTCATTAGCATTATAATAATGAACAGTTTATTATATTCTGAATCTATTTAAAAGTGAAGTGACATTCAATTCACAGACTTAATGAACTATCCTAATTTTATATTCTAATAAAATACCATATTATCCCCATTGTATGCCTACTTAAACATTTCCAAAAAATGTCTGCATTAATATCATTGTTTAATAAATATTATTTATGATAAAACTGCACCTGAAATAAAATACTAAATCACGATTCTGTCTTTTTATGAAAAATTACTAGAAAATTTGGATTCTGCAGTTCTATGAGTCACTGTCAACTGGGCAACAGTGAGAGGGCAATGGACTGCCAATTGGGCACAAGACATCTGGGTGACAAGATAAGAGATTAAAAATAGACAAAATATGAAAGTTTTTATTGTTTTCTTTATTAAATTTACCATTCTTTTTTTATTGATCTACTACCCAGTAAATTTAAATAATATTTTTTAGGAAATGAGTTAAAAGAAAGATTTTGCAATTAAAAAACTTATTTATACATGTTACATATTTTATTTATTTATTTATTTTTACAAGTAAATAAAAGTCTTGAAGAGCAGTTTATATCTACCTTAAAATTAATATACATAAAAACAAATTCAACAATTATATAAATCTAAAAATACATTACATTATACATTAAAACAAAAAGGTATAAACATTTTTTGAAATAATTTGTTTTCAAAGAACTGTTTGTCTTTGATATGCTTTGTTAACCACTTCTGACATACAATAATTAATGATGCTACAGTATATTGTTCCAAAACATTTCATTTTTCAAGTTGGAAATAACTCAAAACTCATAGTTCATACCTCATAACTCTTAACCATGTTTATATTTATATATATTTTACCAATATTTACAAAAAATGTATACATATATATATTTTGTATATACCAAATTGTCAAATCATATTCTTGCTAAGTATGCAAAATTTTTAAGTTTCCATTGCCCAATTAACTGTCGCCCAGTTGACCACCACCCAGCTGTTGTGTAGCCCAGTTCTATGGCTATAAATACACCCCACAATACATTTACACAAGTGCAAAAAAAAAATTGTAGATTCAGTTAGAAAAAGGTGTTTACTGATACAGTAGAGCCTCGAAAACTCAGCCTAATGTGGACCGAAGGGTGGCCGAGTTTGTGAAAATGCCAGGTTATCGGGAATGGGATTAAAAAAGGATAAGTATGCATGTTTCCTCAGAAAATATTGTACTGTACTTGTATGTATTGTTTGCTTGAGAATACAACAGAGAATAAACTGCCCAAATACCCTTAAACAAAGGAAAAGTACGTCCTTTATGAAGGCATAGAGCCTTTACTACATGAAAATGAAAATTAATGAATACACTGTGTACAGTAATTTACCTGATAAGACAGACCTCAGAAAAATACTTTATGAGGCATAAAGCTGTCTATAATGAAAATTAATTAACTAAGGATTTTTTTGCCCTGCCAGGGTGTGGCCGAGTTATCCGGAGTGCAGAGTTTTCGGTAGTCTACTGTATTTAAAAGCTTTCAATTTTCTATATATTAAAGCATCAATTTCTTAACAACAAGAATACAGTACCATAACAGAGGAAGCAGTCACTAATAAGGCAGTTTTAGCAAAAAAAATAGAAAAAGGTAGGGATAGACTTCTAATAGGCAAAATGAGGTAAATAAAAAATAAATGGACTTACTTTACTTTAAAAGAGCAAAATGTATTATTAATTATGCTCCAAATTACCTAAAAAAAAGGATTTAAAAATTAATTACATTTAATAATAAATAAAATAAATTTTGAAAAAAATTTATAAACTATTATTTTTTTATTAAAATTATATATATTATAAGTCAAATATTCAATGGAAAATATAGTGATAAGACACTAGAAAAATTATGAAATATTTTATTAAAATTTACTTATTTAAGCGCACAATTTTTAACTGCAAAATCAAGAAAAAATGAAATTTTATGTAAAAATTTAAATAAAAAAGTTTGAAAAAAAGATCAATCAATACACAGGATATGCATTAATTTTAATTTTTTGTATTATTTAAAATTATTTATTATTGCTGTGTTTCTCAATTTTTTTATTAAAAAAAAAATTGTAGACCAAAAGGAAATGACACTAGTTCTGCCATTCTCAAAAATGTAGACTAATAAATTAATTTTGAATTCTAAATAATAATTTATAAAATTCAGAAATGTTGATAATTAAAAGATCAAAAAGATGTTAAAGTCTTTGGCAACTACTGAAATCTATTATCAGACAATTTGAATTACTGTATTCCTTATAGTAGTGGTTCCCAAACTTTTTTGATTGGCACCCTTGCTAAAATACAATTTTTCCAAGGTGCCCTATGTCAAATTCTAACAAGTACATTAAATTCTAACATTATAAAAATTTTATAACATTTTGTAGCACCCCTGTAAGGAAGCCACAGTGCACACTTTGGAAACCACTGCTTTATAGTATAACAAAGCTACTAATTAATTATTTAAACAATTTAATTTGGCTTAATAATCTGGAGTCCAATAGATGATTATTAATAATCAGTCTCAGCAATTATTTATCCATCTTTAAAATGGTTATTCTGCACAGGCCATGGCCAAGTGATTTTGCAACAATGTAACAAGAGACAAATACAGGAATCTTGCTATAAAAATATAAAATTTCAAAAAAAATTATGCTGTATTAATTTTTTTAATGACAGCCTTCTGGGAAAGCCTGGTACACCGGTAGCCAGTCCAATCCCTGCAGTTTGACTAATTTCCCCAATTAATATCTATAGGCATAGCCAAGATGTTTTTTTCATTTTTGCTATTGTTAGTAATACAGTAATATTATTTTACATACTGCAAATTTTCTTGGAACTGCTTTAATTTTCCCTGAAACTCATTCACATGATCATAGATATTCTGCACCTCTTCAAACACAAAGTTAAATATAATTTTTTTATCATTTCTCATTGGTACACAATTGGCATTCAGTATTATATTTAACAGTATTAATTAAATGCAAGAACTTTTAATGAACGTCTTTTAGAAAGGTAACAAATTCAACTAAAAAACCAATGTTTGACTGTATATGAACAATTCAACTATTCAAACTGAGTACAATAAATAAGCACTAGACACAGAACCAATATCAGCAAGAAAATACACTGCAAAACATTCACATCTGGCAGAGATGATGTGTCAAGTTGCCAAAGAGAAAGAGAGAAAGTCTAGGTTCATCATTAAGAATAGTTAATGCATACTGTGTTAAAGAAATGATTTAAAAATACCAAGGAATAACAGTGCGAGTTATTGAATCAGAACTGGAATTCAGTTATGGAACTGGGCAATCTTGTGAATCATGAATTAAGTATGCTAAGGTTTGTGCAAGATGAATACCCTTTATGTTAACCAAAGAACAAAAAGCCATATGAATGATAAGCCTGACTTTTCTTCAGCAAATGTTGCTGAAGAAAAGTCAGGCTTTGTTTTGTTGACTGAATTGTGAATGAAAATGAAATGGCTCAATCATTTCGTTCCCATCAGCAAATAATCTAAAATGGAATGGAAACACCCTTCATCATCAACCAAAAAAAGCTCAAAGTGACACCGTCTGCTGGGAAAGTCACGACTACCATTTTCTGAGATCCATCAGGTATTATCTTCATTGACTTCTTGGAGCCAGGACACACAATCACTGATGATCAGTATTGTGACACCCTTAGAAAATTGCTCGAAGCCATCCAACAAAAATGCCCAGATCTCACACTGCTCTTCACAAGCAGCAATTGCTCCAAAAACTCAAGTGGGAATTGTGGAGACATCCCACCTACAGTCCATATCTGGCTCCCAGCAATTTTTATGTTTCCTCTCCTCAAAGAACATTTATCTGGCACCCAATTCTGCTATAACAATGACATGAAAGCAATTACAAAAATATGGCTGCAAAAGCAGGGACATGATTTTTTTTTCAACATGGAATGAAAAAGCTGCTCTATGATCAGATAAATGTCTACATCAACAAGGTGATTGATCACTAAATAGTTTATGTATATATAAATAAAACTCATATTCATTTGCTATCTGAGACACATTTCAGTTTTATAATTGTGTATGTAATCTAATTTTTTGGATCAACCTTCATATTTAAACTTCAAAATAAATAAATTTCATTTACATTAACTCAAACACTAAAAGTAAACATTGCACCTGTCATGATCCAAAAATAAACTTCGTTGTTTGTATGGAGAAAAACATTAGCTGTGTTCAGCAGACTCAACAGTTCTGGAGCTGTTGAGTATTTTTCTGCTAAACACCCTCTACAGTAGCACTGTTTATGAACACATTTAGTATTTTGACATCGCATTTAGTAGCATGTTTCATTTATGCTACCTATCCATACCCAAAACTGACCAATGATGACTGCTTTTTGTTCCAATGCATATGTCACTCATCACTCAGCAGATGTAACTATGTAACAGCTACTGATTTAAACATTTTTGCTGAGTTACAACTGTTGATTCTGCTGAATGCAGCCATTGTAATGATCTGTTTATCCCCAAATATGTCGTGTTTTAAATTAATGTCTGACAGCATTCCAGAATCCTAAACATGTCACAAGTGTAATAGCAAAACAAGAAAGACAAGACACTTGCACAACAGAAGGAAAGTATTCGGAAAAACCACAAATAATAAATTATCATCACATTTCTCTTATTTTCTTCTAATTTATCTAATTAAGAAACATTCCATTTAAATAAACTTCTTAATACATTTAGTAAATATAAACTCAATTTTTGGTATAAGTTTTACTTAAACATGGAAAAAAATTCCTCGAATAATATGATTATCTATCATTCAAAATTTTAATTATGTTGTATTAAATATGAATGAAGGTAAATTTAATTTTCTAAGACACTTCAAAAATATACCGATCGACATTATTCCGCTTATTATCCATTATTAATTAATTAAAAAAAAATTTAACTCACATCATCGTGTTGCATCTTGAAAATTTCACTTAAACACCAATTTACAATCACGTGTACCTAAAACAAAATGGCGGATTTAATCTCGTAACCATTTCGATAGACGGCGTTTTCTCGCCTTGACATTATTGTTGTTATAGCAACCGAAGCAGTAAGATGGAGTTTTCTCATCTTATGATTAGAAAAGTGTTGCAGATTTATTGTAATTATTAAATATACACGCGTTTATTTATATCGTAAAATTAAATTTACCACTTCCTTATGTACTTTAGATATTTATTTATGGCAGGTCAGTTCAAATATATTAATTTATTACTTTTGTTTGAGTAAAACGTATTTTAAAAATTAATGTTTACAAAATTGATATAATTATTTTATAATTCGCTTCGTACCTATCGTATTAAAGCTTACATTTCATTAATGTTATCGTAGAGACACGCAATAAATTCTATTTTCCTAAAAAAGTTTCGATTTTCCACCACAGAAATACGAACTTACATTATTTCACATTAATTGATATGATTCATAACTATTTTTACACACACAAAACTTTTTATTCCTTATAAAATTACGCTAATTAAATTGAAAATAGTTTAGCTTTAATTTACTTACAATTAAATTAATTAAACAGTACTTAAATACATTTAAAAAATGTTTTCTGCTTTATAAAAAGTTTTCGCAGACAAAACATGTTATCTCATTTTATCACTTTCAGTAATTTCGGCAAACACTAATAATAGAATGTTTGTGGAATTTATTTGGACTGACGTTTGCGCTGATTAAATGCATTTCCAGCATTTATCTTTCAAAACTATAATTATTCAACATTTTTATAAACAAATGTGCATGCTTTATTGTTAATCGTGATTAATGCATTACGGATAAAACTATTTCGATACAGAAACAAATCTCGATATTCCGGCAAATCGACTTTATTTAATTGAATGAAAGTTTTGACCGTCGTTTAATGGTCGTACCGAGGTCGCGTGTCTAAGCTGTATAATAGAACAAAATTTTGTAATGTTTAAATGTTCTGTACGTTAGATATATGACTTAACAACGAGTGTTAAATAATGATTTGAAATGTTTGTTTGATTAAATAAAATCAATTTGCTGGAAAATCGAGGTGTATTTGTTCATTGAATTTGTCATTTAGGTTTTGTTTACGTGTGCTAAAACTATTTTGTTAATAATTTTAGCTTTTGATGGAAGTATGTATCAAATTTATAAGAAAATTTTTAACAATTCAAAATTATACATTTTAATGATTGTATTAAATAATATGACATTTTTTGTATACTGAATTAAATTTTTTTAAATTATCAGCTTTGTAAAATGTGTAATGAAATTAAATCACATAATTATAACTGCTGCAAAGACAAACTTTACAAGAACAGGTTTAAATTAACTGTGTAATATAATATATTAAAAGACAATTGAGTTTTTTAAAAAAATGGTTCTGAAAAATTATATTAATGTGAAGTTTTCAAGTATATCTGTTGGAATATTATTTTTATCCATATGCTATATGACTATTATATAAAAAAAACTGTTTGACTAAAACAGCAAATGAAACTATGCTGCAAATGAAATATTGCATTTTATTATTAATATTTATTAATAAATCAACAAAACTGTAACAAAAAAATAATCAGGAATATTTATAAATGAAAAGCTTGAATGAATAAGTCAATATTGAAAAACATCTGTTGCAATATAATATGAAAATTTGAAGAAATTGGTATGTTGTCTGTCACTTCTGTTATGACAATTGTTAATAAATATTCTAATAATATATTTATTCAAATGTTTATTTTTGAGTTTGTTTACTTTTTATTTTTATCTTGAATTTCAATAGAATAAATTTGCAAATAACTGTTAATAGCATTTGATTATAGGCATGTATTATTCTTTGCTTGCTTAAAAAAATCTAAATCAACTAATCAAGAAATCTAGTATTCATCATCTTGAAAAGATTNTAATTAAGCTAACTTTTAAATACAGCAATACAGAAAATTACCTTTATTATTGCAGTTGAATATTTAGTTTAACTTTAAATTAAGGAAATGCTAAGTAATAGAAAAACACTTTAATTCAAAGTATTAAAAAAAAAAAGTTCTGAAATGGAATGTTTTCTTTTTGATTCATTTGAAAAACTGATCTATTGGAAATGAGAAATTTATTTTATTTGTATTAATTATAATAGTTTTCAAAATTCAAAAATAAAAATATATGTAAACATTTTTTATAATACTTACATATAAATTTTTACATAAAATTGGAAAGTATCATATTGGAAACATATATTTTTATATTGAGAAGTGTTGTAATTTTACACCATACTAATTAAGTTCTATGGTCTTTGGTATGATGGAAAGCACAAATAAAAAAAAAGAAGATTTACATCAATAATAGATTGATGTTATTGAACAACAAAGTGAAGCCAGTTTGTAGGAATTTGACCATTTGACTTTGGACAGAGGGAAATGGAAGGAGATGATTGAGAAGACAATGAACATCTATAGACATTGAGCCAATAGTTATATGAATGAATGGAATTAAGTTCTACATTTAATTATGATACTATACTTTTTAAATATATTATAAAACTGTTTGACTGAACAATTTATAACTAATTCTATTATACAAGATAATTCTACCACAAATTTTTCCNGTTTAATTTTTTTATAAGTAAACTCTACAATCTCCTCCTCTTGGAGAATTTATTTTCAGTCTTGTTATAACACCAGCATTTTCTTTAACAATATTCACTCTAAACTTTGCAACTGCTATTTGCCTGTGCACTTCACTGAGTGGATAGCAGTTAGGTTATTTTGAGTAATCAGCTGTTATTCAGAAAACTCAACACTTATGCAGCTGTTTCACATTTTATAGGAAATATTGGTTATAGCAAAGAAAGAGAGGATATTTAAAAAGTATTTTTATGGGATATTCACAATAATATACTAGAATTAATATTGCAGATTGATTAGGCAAACAGTGTAGCAATGAATTACTCTGATGTTCAGATTAATGCTTGACACAAGGAATTTTGTCATTAGAATTTGTAGAAAGTTGACATCTGTTTCTGTATGCATTCATGTAAGCATGTACTTTATAATGATATAGCACAGTTTAATGTAGCATTTATTAAAGAGAAAATTTGTGAGATATGCCAACTATTATTAGTAAGATGTAAGTTTGATGTTCTTTCTCTTTCACCAAAGAACAAAGAGAAAAAAAATTAGTTTTTACATTGAATATTGTATATTGTAGAAACCAAGCTTTAAACTGTAGAAGATAATTAAAGACAATATATATCTTGACTATTTGTCTTGAAAAATTATATGCAGTATTTAATTGTGTTTTAGTGATAAAATGAAAAGTAAATTATTTCTAACATCAAATAAACAAGAATTGGTAGCATTTCATTGAAGCTCATTATTGTTGAGAGATGTTAAAATCGTTCTCATAAAATAAATTTCTGTATAAGTAATTTTTTTTGTATTATACTAAATTATAAAAGTCTATAGGAAAAGAATCTTGTGACATGTAGGAAGTTAGTTTATTTTGCTGATATTTTTTGGCTTTATAATTACTTGGACATTATAAAATATTCAAGAGCATTAATTAATTGAAGTTGGAAATTGGAATTTCAACAAAAAGTTGGGAAAAAAAATGGCAGCAAGATGGAAAAAATTTGTGAAGTTATAAAGAATTATTTTATTAAACCATTGGTTACTTTAACATTTTTTTTCCATCATTAGTAATGTTGTCAGGAATAGTTGTCAAAACATATTGTATGTGTGTTAAGTAGATGGTAAAAATAAATGTGTTCTGACTTAATCATATTACTAATATATTGATGATTATAAAGATTTGAAAGCAGTTTTAAATTAAATACCTCTGCAAATTTTCTATATCATAGTTTTTTTAATAAATGTTGTCATGTAAGAGAATTACCAATGCTAACTTTACCAATATTTACTTCAGGAAGCCAAATCTTTAATTGCATAATTAGAAGCATTTTCATCTTAATCCAGGACAATCTCAGCTTACAATTTATGATAAATAATACACATCTCAGAAAAACCTTTAACTGATGTGAAATAAGAATTAATAGTACAAATGTTTTCAGACCCCTCCTGGGTCCTTCTTCAGGTAAAAATCGTTTTAAAAGTTAATAAATACGAAAAATATTCGTTTTGAATGATTTTTTAAAATCGAAAAGATAGAATGGAATCATGATTCCATTCTATCTTTTCGATTTTAAAAAATGCAGATCCAACAAATTTGTGAGTATTTAGAAAAGTTAAGAGTTAAAATAAATTTTAAAAAATCAACAATTATGATAATTGGAAATGGAAGTAACATACCCAAAAAGCACATGTCTTTTTTTTATTAATAAAGAAGAAGTGAAGATAGTGAAGGAAATTAAATTTTTAGGAGTAACATTCACTCCTAATCTCTCGTTTGAAAAACACTATAAAAATTCACTAAACAAAGCAAAATTTGCAATAAATAATTTAATTGGTCTATTCTGTAAGGCAAAAATAAAGAACTTGTGTACACATTTTCAACTTTTTAATTTGATTGTGATGAACTCAATGGGATATGCTGCCCCAGTTTGGAGCATGGAAAAGTTTAATAACTTTGAAAAAATACAGAATATATTTATACGTAAGATATTCCAGCTAGAATTTAATATCCCGGGTAGCGCTTTAAGATTAGAAACAAATAGATTCAGATTAAATACNTATATGTTCCAATATATATATATTGGAACATTACAAATAAGTATAGTATTTTTCTATCTTGAATCATGAAAAAAGGAACCATCAATGTTTTTAGTACAGCATGATAGCATTTGATGAATTAAAAATTATTGACTATTGAACACAAATCAATGAATTAAAAATTAATTAGTATATTTCTAGGTTGTAGAATATTGATATTTGACATTTGTGTAATGAACTAAAATCAGATTTTTTTCTTTTTGATTTTTAAGTAATAATTTGCATAAAAATATATTTTTCTATTTAATTTTTTTTCAAAACCTT